ATATATATATATATCTTGTACGTTGTTATATATTACTATTTAGTATTATGCTATGTCATATATATACATGCGTGTGTGTGCGTGTGTTTGTCTGGTAATTCTTGAGCATAAATTTTGATGCTATTTTTCATGAGCAAGGGTTGTATTGATCGTCAGAGTTCAACATATCTACTTATACGGTAGTCAGATATGTTCTTTGTACGGGGAAGTATAAGCTATACGGGTAATCTCAAAAAAAATATTGATCTATTTTCTATCAGGTCTTGGTTTTGCTGATTATGCTAGTGGTGTAGCCGAAACTGTGTCTGCGCTAAAGTGGACTATGGTACAGCCTCTTTTATCAAGGTTTGACCTTCGGCTATCATTGATCTGAACTGTTATTACGTACTGTGTTTCCTAACGTCACAAACCTACTTCTTGCGATTTCGGCTCATGTGTGCTGATATTTTCCGAGTGAGGTCGTGACTGCTTTGTGATGATGTTGATATATGCGTTCTTTGACACCCGATTCCCAAGTAACTTTACGACGCTTTGGCACCGGGTGCTGATTTCTCTCACTTTCTATGCCGAGATTCGCTTGAATCTCAACCGTGGTATGTCATCATGGTATCTTAATGACTCAAGAGCGAACTATTACTTGTACTGTCTGTAGCTCACTTGGCAGCTATGGTCATTGTACCTTACAAGATGACGTTCAGGACCTGGATAGTTTGATGGCATCCCTCATTGAAAGATTTGGGAAGCTATACAAACGGAAGCCGAAGTTTGTGCTCATGGGTCACTCCACAGGTACGTAAGTAACGTTGATCATCTGCGTGACTAGGCGCACGTGTTCGAACTATGCGTTTGTTAGATATTCTGCTTCGAGTTGCATATCTGTAAGTAGTATTTGATTACTTTCTAATTTGAGAACGTCTTTCGAACTGGCATGTCTCATGTATGCACGTATCTGTATTGCCTGTCATTCTTATGTATGACGTCTGTATTTGCATAGAAGATGGAAGTTGATTTCGCTTCTAAGCTCTGTTTTAGCTTATATTCTCGGTTTTCGCTATTTCCAGGTTGCCAAGTAAGTGTCTGGGGTGTTGATGCACTCAATTGATGCACGAAGGCTGCTTTTATTTATGAGTGCTCAATCATTGAAGAGCTATGTATTTTCCGCCAGTCCGAGCTCTCATAGTAGTCCCCCGTGCTGTACCCTGGATGCGTCAATAAGACACTAACTGTAAAACAACCGCATATGACGCTAATGTCGCGGTCAAATCGCAAGCCATTTGTGTGGGTCGCATAGTGCATTTCGCCACTTCTTTGTTTCTAGTGTACAATTTGTCATTTCGAATCGCATACCATAGTCTAGCACCAGAAGTGATCTAACATGCAGAATGGGACGATTTCACATAGGACACTGTTACCTATCTAAAAAGCGGGAGGTACGCGACCTTTGTGTCGGCCGTGATTCTACAAGCGCCCGTCAGCGACCGGGAGTATTTCACTGACAGCAGTACTACTAAGTATTTGGTATGTATTGTGTGATTGAATTCTCTGCGAAGTGCCCAGATTGTTGCCATCAACCTCTACAACGTGATTTGCGTGTGTATGTGGCGTGAAGCAGGTGCCATCTTGGAAGAAGTATTGGAAGAAGTATTGTTGATCTTGCGAGACCCAACCCTGTCGAAATTCCCGGTGGATTTGTATGTTTTACAGTTCGTTCCTACATCAACCCAGCGGAAATGACAAGTGGTTCTCGTACACCTCAACTTTATGTATATACATAATCGTTATCAGACACTCGCTAGGTCGATGATTAATGATGGGAAGGCCAAGGAAATGATGTGCAGAGAGGCATGGGACGTACCCATTACAGCAGAGCGATATGCCTCGTTGCTAGGTAGTTGAGTACACTGGCGGTATGCGTGTGTGCTGCAGGAAACGTATACATGCGCCCGACTCTGGAAATCTTGAATCCCTTTAATTGGTCAAGCGGTCAAATTTAGCATTTGAATAATCGTATGTTTTAGGTCGATTGGGAGATGATGATATGTTCTCCAGCGATCTTTCTGAATCTGAATTGAGTGGTAAAATTGGCCATGTGGCGGTACCGGCGCTCTTGGTATTCAGTCAAGGTATTGTATGTATGTTAGCTATCAGTTCTAATCAGAATCCAGCAGGCGCTTCAGATAATTTTTGCTGGTTACTGTCAGGCCCACTCTTCGTCGAGTAGAATTTGCAACTCTAATACAAGCTAAACTGAGAATCTAGGCCCAGCTATCTGACTATTCTACAATCACTCACTTGAAGACGACCAATACGTGCCTTTAAGCATCGACAAGAGAGCTTTGGGTGCACGACTTGCCTGCGCGATGCCGATGAGTGTAGTACATTTGGTCTTCGTTGAGGTGCGTAATGGATTACACAGATCTTTATAGTTTTGATTTCAGTTCACTATTATGTGAAGAAAAATATATTTGTACCCAAATTCCCGGGTTTGCGCTGGTGTGGCGATGCTTAATGCAATAGAAAACCGCGTGCTAAATTGTTCACTATTCGATCTGTGCTCCGTATCCACAGGGTGGTAGCCACTCTTTAGAAAGCAAAGCGCCCATCCTTTGTTCTGAAGTCCGGCGATTTCTCGGTATGTTCATTTCCATCCGTGGACGACGGTGTATAGTTTCAACTACTTTGATCTTTTTGTTAAAGTGCAACGACTCAGCTTTGAATATTTGAAAGCGACAAATGATGGTGTTAACAACAGATTCTTGCGGTGACGGCTTTCTTCATCATAAGTGCATTGATCAAATCTGTATAAAGTAAGTCGTTCAGGAAGATTATTTAGATTTGAGCAACCTCTATACGAAGAGAAATTCAATACGTATATCTTCTCCCTACTGATGTTATAGCCAACCATATGTCGATGTAGCTACTATTGATCTGAAATGATGGTACAGTTATCGACCGCCATTCTAGATAATTTAAGCCACCATCAATGTATTTCAGGTCGGCATTCCGGTTGATAATCCGGGTGTACGAGTACTGTGACCTGCTACGACGACTATGTAAGGCGCACTAGTGTGGATGTGTCAAATGACAAAAAGCTTTTCTCTCGTCATAACGGCATGTCTCTCGCTAGACACCCCCTCGGTATTGTGATACCCTAAAAAAATTCAACGTCAATAGTGAACAATTATGTGGTGCATCGAGGCGTCACGTTGTTACTTTTGCCAAAAGCGGACAATTAGCCAGTATAGCCTAAATATAGTTTACAGTCCATTTATTGGAGGGAGTGCGAAGGCCAGCGAGTGTACGTGGTAATTTGAATACTTCGTCCATACGTGAGTGTTCCACGTTAAGGGGAGACGAGTGAGGAATCATCAAGGACAGCGTACGCTTGTCTATTGTTAAAATTACTACGAAAAAAAAAGGCTTATTTGTACATAAAGGGTCATACGGGTTTTTTTTTGTTGAAATTATTCGCCTTTAGTGATCAACAAACACAGTTGGATTTCATTTTGCACGAATCAAGTATTTCTTCTCAGCCCTTTTTGAGAACGTGTAAATACAAACACAATTCTCAGTTCCAAGAAGTTGACGTTCATCAGAAATATCATATCTACTGAGTAAAAATACTATCCGACCCCAAATTGCATGTACCAATTATATTTTGTAACAAAAACTGACTAAATATGATATTGCTGTAATGAAAATCCATCATTCTTGTAATAATAATCCACCATTTCTGCATCTATGTATGTTGTCTGTCACACTATTAAGTATAGAGACAAGTTGATCCCAGTGGTGAGACGCCCTCTTTAAGGGAAGTAGCGTCTCGGCACCAATCTACCTGAAAAGCCTCGATTTGTTCTTACTTTCGCACTCTGCTGACCTTCTACAGATGCAACTTTCAGTGTCGAGATTCGCAAATCCAGCAAGTCCATAATTCAGGGAAATGTCCATCATATAGAGCGTAATAAAATGCACGGTCGACCTAGTCGACACCCAAATAACAATATGAGACCGACAACCGCGTCTATCTAAAAAAAATGCGAGATCGGGGGCTCATATGCTGCTAGATATTTGGTAGACATAATATCTGTTGGCCTTCGAACCAATATTTTCGTTCTGTGTCAGCTATCTGTAACCTCTCGAAGCATTCGGTGACCTGATTCAACTACGAGGCCACAGAGTGATACTCTCTTCCAACCAGATGTGATTGTTTGTTTTTGCATGATAGGTGTAAGATTCGGTCTAATAAAGGCGATACTAATGCCTTAGCTAAACTCTAAATATCGTGTAAATATCGATATAAATAAACGAAATGAGACACTTAATAAAGTTAGGTTTGCCTCGTGAAAACAGCAATATTCTGAGGGATTGTGAGGCTGAGACATAGCCTATATATAATCCTCTCAGTACTGTTTCCGCCGAAGGGTTTTTATTTAGTGTTTCGTTGTCGCTCTATTCTGGGGCGAATCCGAGAGGCTCATAAAATCCTATCTTTAGAAATAAAAAATAGAAAATAAAAAATACTCTTGACGTCCTTAGTTATTGTCTTAACCAATAACTTGCCACTATCAAGAATTACCGACTTAGCCTTCATCAGACTGGCACATCTGGTTGGCTTATCGGAGGATCCACTAGGTAACGTTTATAGTCCCTAGAAACCTATATTCGGTTGAGCCATTTCGCTACCGAAGTATTCAGATATAAATAAAATTAGAAAGTAAATATAGCTATTAATAGAACTAGACCAACTCTTTTATGTTTGGTATTTTACTGAGGCCTTTTAATGGCCTCATCCAAATATCTGAAAAGTTAAATGGAAAAGGTTTAATTAATAAAACCATTAAAACCATTTTAGGAAACTAAAGTTCCTCGTGCTATTAAGAGCACATTTAGGAGACTTAAGTTCCTCGTACTATTAAGAGTACATTTAGGAAACTTGTTCCTCGTACTATTAAGAGTACGTTTACAATTTGCGTACTGCTTAAGAGTATATTTATACATAGTCTAATGTGGAGGCCCGGCTTAATACAGTGATGCCTGGCAGTTATAATGAATTAAACCAGTTTATAATCTAATCGAGTAACATACCTCGATTGTTTCGTTGACGAACGTACCTCTTCTTCGATCGCTTATGTGCGCACTAATACCCTTGAATGTTGCGGTTTTAAAATTCAAAGCTACACCATTGACTGTGATAAAGCACGAATTCTGGGAAGCAACTATATGCAATACACCAGGTTCGAATGATGGTACTCAGTGGAAATCTTGAGCTTGACGGTAAGACGTATTTTGGTCTCTCTAACTTGAAGACTCCTAATTATGTTCATCAGAAGAAAGAGCTATAGTGGACACTAAGGAGTTATACCCATCACGGACAACAGTATCAGAACAAGTTTTTGCCACATAGGTAACTATAACACTGCTGTAAATATTATCGAGGTGGTTGGCTTCTCAAGATTTAACTCCGAATAATGTATGCTGTACTTACGTACACAACATACAATATGGAATGAAACATATTTTGCCTAGCAAGCCTTCCAGTAGAATATATTGGTTGCCAGAACAATGTGATTATTCAGAAGGACGAAACTGAAGGTCTATGGGTTGGTATTGAGTAAGCCGGGCTCTACAGATTCGAATGTAGAACGTATGCTATACCTGCGCACGCGACATGCAACATACGTGAGATGAAACACTTACATTGAATAGCGAGTCCCCTGTGTATTCTGTTGGTTGTCTTAGCCAATTAATCTTCCATAGTGACGAAACTGTATGTCTCAATGAATGCATAGCCACATACTCTGTAGCCTGTTGTACTACCATAAACAATGGCTACTGCGACATAGTATGCAGATTGATAATCTGTATAATGAGGACTTCACTCGTCATGCATAAGAACTTACTTTGAATCCGTTGGTCGACTAGCAATAGTCGTATTCTCGATAATCTACCATACTACCAAGTTCTTTGAGTTGTACTTTCGAATCAATTATTATATAACTGTGACATACTATGTACATTATTAATATGTAGAATGGGGATTTGTTTCATAATACATAATGACTTGATTTGAACCCGTTGGTCAATTGGTCAACCCATAGTTATATTCTTTAAAATTGTTGCTCTGAAATGCCATTCAGTTTTAATGAGGACTCCATCTGCAATATGCAGGGACTAAAAATTTGAATATGTTGGTAAATATGGTGCAAATATGTCTTTATTGCTGACCTCACATTTGGTTTTGTACATAGTTTGTTTGTGCTAGTGTCCAACCGCTTGGGTTGGCCAGGGTAAAAACTCATTTGGTTAATATCTATTCAGTTTGATGTTTCGAATGAGGACTTCATCTGCTGTATACAGGGACTGAAACGTTGAATCTGTTGGTAAATAAGATGCAAATGTATGTCTTTATTGATGACCTCACATTTTGGTTTGTACATTGTGCGTTTATGCTATGCCACACACACACAGGCAAGCTCAAGTCGTATTGCTAGAACCAGGCCAGTACAAACGGGCACAATGCCAGTTTCCCGCCAATCAAGCACACAAGAACTGTAGCCATACTTGTCACCGACCACCACAAGGGAGACCACATCAAGGTAAACAACCAAACATTGGGGGTTTTAGGGTTTAAATGACATTAAGGGAATAGAAATTTTGAGTTGACGAACAAACAATGAGTTCTAATACCACAGTGAACACTGAACTTATAGAACAGTCAATGACTTCTGTGCCCTACCAATGGACACGAGCAGCACGAAGGAACATATGCGCACAATTGAGCTCAACTCGCATACACACGCAAGGAAAGGCAAGCACAAGTTGTAATGCTAAAACCAGGCCAGTACAAACGGGCACAATGCCAGGTTCCCAAGCATCCTCACGCACCTCTCCTCCAAACAATGGACAGGGGGCGATGTACATAGATGACGAACCCACAACAACAAGAGCATCATTAGACCCGGCAATGGGTAAGTTCAGAGT